CAGAGGGGAAGGTTGCACCACTGCCACCCTGCTCTCCCCGCCGCTCTTCACAACGCGCTGCAAGGAGGGCCTCCACTCCTCCCACACGGGAGGCAGGGCGATGCTCAACCCCGTCAGTAATTGGCCACTGCCAAAAAAATACAAGTCAGTCGCATTCAAAGTATCTAAAGCCTCGACCCGCTGGCAACGGGCCTGCCAGATGAGGGCTGCTTGCAAGTCGCGAGCCATGCCCCCTCACCTCGACTGGGGGGAGTCGACCCAGCCGGCTCCCGATCGGCTTGCAAGTTGCTGCGACCGCCAGCTCGAGGCACGTCGACCACAGCAGCTGGCGGGGCGTCCCCAATGATGCAGGGGTGCGAGCCCGCTCCTCCGACCGCTTGGGCTGCCCCACCGTGCCTAGAGCAGGTGGGGACAAGGCCGGCGATGCCTCCAAAGGGCACGGCGACTATGTCTGCTTCGCCTCCCACTCGTCGACAGTGTCCGAGCTCACGGCGCGCTTCCTTGGCGCGGGAACGTCGCCACACCTCTCTGCCTCCTGCCCACCCCCAACGGATGTAGCCATAGGCTCACGACGCTCCACTAAGGTCACGACGACCTCCTGGCCTCCCTCATCCTTGTAGGGGATCTCGTCGTCACCCATCTCCGTGGGTTCCTCCGACTCGAGCTCTGTCTCAACGTCGCTCCGATTCTCCCCGGCCCACATGCGTCGGGCGATATCCTGCTCCTTCTGGTGCCTCCTCCGAGCCTTCTCAGCTCTCTTCTTCTTCCTACCATTCGCCACCTCCTTCAGGGTAGCTTGCCGAGCCACCCCCTCTAGCCCCTTCGGAAGATGCGGCCGGGATTTATAACCAGTGAGTCCCTACGAAGCAAACGACTTGAAGTCAAATTATAGGAGAGCAAGACCAAAAGGGACACGGAATAAGGAGAGGAGAACGTACCAGATTGGGTAGTTTCCCGGTGTGGAGAGGTCCGGGCTTTCCTTCGAGGGTCTCCCGGGCCTTCAGTTGCAGCACCCGGTCGAGCCGGCTCCAAACTTTGTCCTTCACCAACTACACCAGCAACGTGCGGTTGGGGTCCGTCGGGCTAGAGTACAGCCACATCGGCCGCGTCCTCTCCGCCAGCGGGGCGACCCGACGGTGGAAGAAGGTGTGGAATACCCGCACCCCGTCGAGGCTATGCTGCAACAGCTTCTGGAGCTCCGCCCCAATGATCTTTTGGTTGTTCTACCAGCTGGAGGGGCCCCACGACCAGCTCTCTTGCCTCTCCGGCCTCCTACCGGTGAACGACAGGAACGGCGGCTCCACCGGGTTCCTTATGTAGAACCACTCCCCGTGCCACCCCCGATTGGAGTCGCAGGGGGTGTACGCGGGATAGGAGCCCGATGAACTTGGCTTCTTCTACAGGGCGAAGCCACCAACCGGCGCGGTCCTAGCCAGCTTCCCCTCCGACAAGGCTCGCCTAGTGAAGATCCATCGAAAGAAGTCCACATGCGGCTCCATCCCGAGGAAGGCCTCACAGACGGTGACGAAGCCGGTGACGTGCAACACCCCAGTCGGATTGATGTGCTATAGCTCCAGGCCCCACTCATTGAGGAGCCCGCACAGAAACTAGTGTGCGGGGTATCCCAGCCCGTGCTCATGGAAGGCGAGGAAGGAGACGACCTTGTCAGGCTGAGGTCGAGGGAAAGCCTCCCCTATAGGAGCCCTCTAGTGTGCCACCTCCTTCGACGGAAGCAGACCCTTCTCAGCGAAGGCAGCCAGCACCATCTCATCCACATTGGATGGCCTCTAGCTCAACATCTCGCTTTAGAATCGCAAATAGATCTATGAGTTCTCCTCTCCCTCGCTCTACCCCTTTTTCTCCTAGGAACCACCGTGGCACACGAACGCTCTTGGCGAGAAGGAAGAAGGAAGAGAGGCGGCAGTTGAGGAATAGGTGAAGGAACGAGACGAATACCCTATCCCTTCCCCTATTTAAGGAGAAGACACAGCAGTTGGAGAAAGGCAAAGGATTGGGGCGAAAAACCCTCTCCCTTCCCCCATTCAATGCGGATGGGATGCGGTAGGACGTGTCCTGACCGATGGGATACGCCTTGCTCGACGAGACGGCGCCTGGTTATACGGGACGTGGCCTAGGCATTGCCTACCACTACCGCACGCTGGGCATGGAAAACAAGGCGCAACCGTGCACAGGCAGCCCTCCGCCTTCCTAGGCAGGACCTGGAAGGGCCCAACGACGGGATCTCCGCCCAGGAGAGACCAACGGTCTTCCTGAGTCGATCGGACAGCTCAAGCGAATGCTGAGAGATAGGTAAGGAGCAGAGGGATGCCCCATGTGGGCCATGCCGACTCTGTCATGAACGACGAGCATGGATCCCATTCGGACATCTCCGATAAAAGCTCCCCAAAACCCGTCACTCGAGTCATCAAGGTGACTTTACCAAACCCTCTCACTTAATTTTTCTGATGCATGATCATTCATCCATCCATTCTCATACACGCATTCACACATTCATTCATATAGCCATTCATTCATCCCATACATCCGAAGCATCACATATGCAATTAATGCATCACAACGCTCCGTGTTGCGTCACGAAGCGGTAGTTGCCTCATTCAACATGAGCAACGACCGACCGGGGTTCGAAGGCCGGCCCGCGAAGGGCTCAAGGCCGCCTCACGTCAAATAGAGCTAGGGGAGAAAATGCAGATGAGCCCCAGCGGCCCTCGCCCAATCTGCTCCGAAGCAGATAGGGTCATCTCAACCTTCTCATTCGATCCTAACCTTGAGCCATGCCCACAGAATCTCTATTGAGGGGAGACCAGCGGGCCACCTGAGTCGATCTCTAGAATGACCCAGGCATCTGCTAGGACGTGGGTTAAGGAGCAATGGAATGCCAAATGAGGGCTATTCCGACCCCGTCACGAACGACGAACCCGGATTCCACTCGAACATGCCCGTTAGCGAGCTCACCGAGCGCGTCACTCGAGCCATCGAGGCAAGCGATGTTAGCTCAGCCCATCCGATTGCAGAAACCACAGACGGGGTAACGCATGAAACTAGACCAACCCCTACCAAGCCCAACGGGGCTTAGGGGCTCAGGTCGCCCGACATCGACTCGGGAAATCAACGAACCTCGTAGGTCACGGGCGGGACAAACACGGGAGAACACCCCGAATGACAGTCTGTGGCCCCAGGAAACGAGTACCAAGATGCTCAGCCTCCAACCGACTCACCAGTCGGAAGCAGGCTCGGGGGCTACACCCGTGGGTGCGCTCGAGCACACCCGCTGTCAAGACAAAAATCCCCCCGCTGGCAAAATGAAAAAACCCCCCAGATGATTCTACTCGAATTGCCCGGGGGCTACACCCACGGGTGCACTCGCGTGCACCCACTATCAAGACAAAAATCCCTCAGACGATTCTACCCGAATCGCCCGAGGGCTCGGGGGCTCCTGTCGGGTTCATAAACCCGGGGTCCCTCATGGACATGCTTCCCAGCAAAAGCTTGGCCCAGCAGACGACGTTGCAAACAAAGCGCAACTCCTGGGTCGGCCCAAAAACCTAACGACAGGCCAGAAGGACGATCCTGTCTTCGACTGGAAGGCCTAGCTAAAGAAGAACGACGCTCGCTTCCGACTCTGACCCACCTCTCCAACCAGAAGGCCTGGCCAAGCAAGACCGATGCTCGCCTCCGACTTCGCCCACCTCTCCGACCGGAAGGCCTGGCCAAGGAGGACCGACGCTCGCCTCCGACTCTGGCCCGCCTCTGAGACCGGAAGGCCTGGCCAAGGAGGAACGACGCTCGCCTCTGACTTCGGCCCGCCTTTCTGACCGAAAGGCTTGGCCGAGAAAGGACGACGCTCGCCACCGACTCTGACTCGCTTCTCTGATCGAGAGTACATCGAACCTCTACTTACAGCTCTTCTCCGACTAGGAGGCCAAAGCCGGCTAGGGAACGATCGACCGGGGACGCCCGCTCGGTGAAGACCTAGAAAATAGACAGAGCAAGTAAGGCAGGGCGCTCTAGTCAACCATAATATCAAGGACCATACCCTGCACACCTGCAGGACAGTACTGTCAGGTCATGTCAGAAGGGTACTTTATAACTTTCTAGATATGTCAGAACACCCACAGTGTTGTGAGCGCCGACATTTATCCTACAGTATGGTAGGCGCCGACATTGGCTATACCAGAAGAACGCAGTGGAACCGACCACATGCATCCAGCCATCAACAGTATTGTGGGCGCCGACAAACCACCTTGTACCCGACGTCGTGGGCAACAAGACTAGGTGGCATACACACACTCTTTTCTCATACTATCTCTTGTAAAGTCGTCCCCTTCATCTATAAAAGGGGATGTGCTCTCTCCAAAATGAGGAGGACGATTTAGACAACACATGGATCATTCCGATTCTCTCTGCTTGGCTCTTGAACTCTAAGGCCAAACAGAGCATACGCTCGAACACTTAGTGCACGTTGGAGCTCCCATCACTCTTGGCCCTTCGGTCCGGAGTCCGACCGGACCTCTGATACTCTCATCTTACTTCCTCTTGTTTGTAACCCCACAGTAAACTTTGAGCACCTGGACTCAGGAATAAAGTCACCGATTGACTCAAATTGGACGTAGGGCACGTTGTCTGAACTAGTATAAACCTTGTGTCATTGAGTGATAGGCCACATCCGATCACAACGTATGGCAAAACTACGAATATTTACGTGTTGGTCACTTTTCACACCGACAACATGCGTGTAATTCTTCGGTCAAAGGACCAGTTTGTGCGCCATTGTTGGAGCCATTAGTATATAAACCTCTTCTTAATTGAGCGGCGGAGCTCTCGTCCTACTTTAAAAAAACACTGTATATTACATTAATCTAGGGAAATTCTGGTGATTGTAAATGCAAAGGTTGCGGAGGGCCTGAGCGCAAAAACTTGCAATCCTCTTAAGCAGGAAGGCCCATTTGCTCACCTGCTTCAAAACCCTAGAGCCGTCACCAATGGCGGACGCCGAAACCCTATCCACGCCCCCCCGCGCCTCCGCCTCTGCCTCCACCAAGAAGAAGAAGAAGCACTCGAAGAAGCACAAGGCCACCTACGTAGCCCCCACCAATGTCACCGTCGAAGCCCCCACCGATGTCACCGTCGACGAAGCCCCCACCAATGTCACCGTCGACGCCTCCCTCACGGGCGGTTCCTCCTACGCCGCGGCCGCCCCCGTGGTCGGCTACTTCCCCTCCGGCTACGACCCCCTCGCCGCCGCCGCCGCCGCCGCGGGGGCGGAGTCTTCCCCCCGCACCCGGCTCTTCCGTCACGAGAAGCACCCCACCTGGGTGGACCTCGTGGTCCGGAGCCCCGGCGGCGGACCTGACTTCGTCGGCCGGAGCTATGCCGGTGAGGCCGCCGCGCCGCAGCTCTGCGAGTATGCGCTCGGCGTCCTTGACAAGGCCTCCGGCACCCTCAGGGTCGTTCCCATTGCCGCCAAGAAGGTGAGGACCAAAATTTTGACCCTTCCTTGTAATGGTTGCACTTGAGTTGCAATTTTAGCTAAAAGGAAACGGGTTTTTATCACACATATATGAAATTTTATCTGTTTAATGAATCAATATCAGTTTTTTAAGTACTGTAAGCATTCTCTGCTGTCTAATTATGCAACGAAAAGTTGCAATTGGATGGGCACTACTGGTGTTGTGACATTACCTGCGTAGTTAGGATTTTAGCAGAGTCGCACTAAAGCTTCAATCTCCTGTTCTGATTTTTTTTTTTGTTCACTTGCATTGGAGTGTAAGCTGCTGTTGTGATTGTCATTCCAATCATAAGAGTAGCATACATTTTAAAAGGGCTAAGAAACATTTCTGTGCAAATGGCATGAGGCATTGAGGATATCGGTGTGTAAAGTTATTCTTGATGTCTGTACTCTGTAACAGATTCTGAGGCTAGAGCCACATCTTGAAGTGCAGCGCCCAGCACATTCGCAGCACTCTGAGGTGGCATCAGAAGCTGCTTCAGCTGCAGGAAATGATGAATTGAAGGTTCAAGATTTGACCATGATGTATGGAACCAAGATGGACAGGGACAAGGTATGTCTGTGTCTAGGTTTACTAGCGCGCTGTTGATTATATGTATCAGAATTGCAACCAGAATGTGAGCTTGAGACATACAGTTGCAAGACTATATGAAACGAAAGAGACGACAATGCCACTATTCTGTGCCCCTGTTTGCTTATTTTTTTTAGGAAATAGTTTTTTTAAGATGATGTTCATGACACAGTTACAGATTAGATTTGTTGAGCAGAACTCATTATTAACTGTCATGGAGCCAGTATGATTTCCTTTAGTTTTGTATTTGAATCTGTATGATAACAGGGAGATATTTTGTAGTTATACCATTGTCTTAAACAAAAAGCTGATTTGTAGATTTATCTTGAGATGATCATAATAATTTCCATTGTACACTGGTCAAATTTATTTTCATGAGCTGCAGAGGTACTTGCAGCATTCCTTGCAATTTAGAAAAGTTAAAAAGAAAATTTGGTTGAAGCTTATAATCTTTGCAGGACAATAAGTGGAGATCGTTAAATGAACAAAGGAATGATCCTTCTGCTTTTGAGGACATTGACCTTGGAGGATCAGAGACTGCTGCCAACACCATTGATAGTCAGGAACCAGTACTTACTCGGAACATTCCACCTTATGATCCTACCGCAGATACATCAGAAAAGGCATATCTTTTGGATGAGATTATTCCAAAGAGTATACGGCAACACCTTTTACAAATTATCGATCATTTTGAATCAGGAGAATTTTCCTCAAAAGGCTATGGGGGTTTTGTCTCAAAACGTGTGCACAAGTTGAACGAGCTTCAGGTGATTAGTTACACTTTTCTGTATGCTTGAGTTCTTCTATAGGAAGGCATATAGTTTAAGGTGCTGCGTAATTTAATGGTAATGGTAACTCTGGTGAAACACCGTTAAATGGCAAACATTCTTGTGGTAATTTAAAGTACCTTTGTTTTTCTTCTCATGGAACTTGTGACAGTTTATAATTGATTCTTAGCATGACTTTTTACTTGTATATCATTCTGATAGCAGTATAGCAGACACCATTACTACTAAAATGATGACAAGTTGAATGGCACTGCTCTCTGTGTGCCTCTCTTTAGGAAGTGACAGTTTGGCTGCCAAAATGATGGCAGACAATTGTTGCCCTTATGCCACTTTTTATTTTGTTATAGTACAGTGTGTTTATGGATCTTTTCCACTTGTTTCTAAAAGAAGCTACTTTTCCCTTGCATTCTTTTAGGGTGAAGATAAAGAGCGGTTTGCTTGGATACTGTCCTACATCCAACATCTCCTATCTTTATTGGCACGGAATGGCTCCATGTCCAAGCGCCAACGGAAAGAGAGAAATGAAAACCAGACAAACCGTGGACCAGCAACCCCGCAGGCTGTATATCGCAGGCTGTTGCTGATGTTTACGGAACCAGGGTCCAGTGTCATGTCAACAGAGAAAAATGAGCTTCTGATCAACTACATATTGGTCCTAACACTTTTTGCCGATGACTTCAGATCTAATCCTAACGACATATGTGAGGACCTTAAAATGACCCGCCAAAAGCTTAAACCATATTATGACCAGTTGGGGTGCAAATCTGTGTCAGAAGGTGCTTTTAAGGGCAGTGTCATGACGCTTCCAGCCCCTCTCAAGTTTCCAAAGGATGTTACGAGAAAGCGGCGACGGCAATAGGACTTTATCTCAAGGAGAGAAACCAATGGCTATTCATCTCACAAATGGCTTGCATTGCATGAATGGTTGGAAAAAGGCCTCTGAATTCCAGGACTCCCAATCGAAGGCAAGTTAAAGGAATCGATGCTAGAGGCCTGATTTTGCAATGTACTGGAAATGAAAAGTTGTTCAGTGTTTTATTTCAATTTTTTGGTTGCCCATCGACATTGTTGTCAAGAAAGGAAACATGTCATCTATGTATTGATAAATATTTGAAGCCCTGTACAAGTGAATGTATTGAAATGAACATGGAGCACGTTTGGAAAATCCTTTTGGTAGTTTGAAAAATGAACATGGAGCACGTTTTCTCTCTCCTCGGTTATGCTTCGTTTCATTTTGTTTTTCGTTGCCCGTCGACATTATTGTCAAGGAAACATGTCATCTATGTATTGATCAATATTTGTATACCTGAATGGTTGAATGTATTGACATGCTTCCTTTTGGTAGTTTTCCGGCATAATAGCCATTTTGGTCCCTTAACTATTACTCGAGGCTCATTTTTATCCCTAAATTTTTAAAACGGACGTTTAGGTTCTCAAACTTATGTTTTAAATTCAATTTCATCCTACAATAAGTTTTAAATTCAATTTTATCCTACAATTATGAAGATGATCGTTTCAGTCCTCAAATTTTGTATTTTGGGCTCAATTTCATCCATAAACTATCAAAGTGCATTTAACTTTTATTTTCAACTCAATTTAGCCTATTCAAAAAGAAAAGTTTATATTTTAGGCACAATTTCATTCATAAATTGTCACAATTGTAGATATGCTATTATTTCAATATATCCATGTATCTTAGAGAATAAATAGTGTTCGATGCAACTGTAATTGCTCCCACAAATATCATTTAGGGATATATATAAATGGTACCATTATAAGGTAACACTAAAAATAACAGCTTGGAATTATTAATGGCCACGAAAGAGTTTTTGGATGAATATTATTTTTCTATCTCCAATCACCGGTGATGTTGAAGCTCATCAGGTGCAACAATGTAGCATTTCACGTAGAACATAGACAAAATTGAGTTGAAAATAAAAGTTTAAAGAACAAAATACACTTAGATAGTTTATAAATGAAATTGAACCCAAAATGCAAAGTTGGAGGACTAAAACGATTCTTCATAGTTCTAGGATGAAATTGAGCCTAAAAGTAGAGTTTGATGACTAAAACGGATGTTTTGAAAGTTCAGAGACGAAACTAAGCCTCAAGTAATAGTTGAGGGACCAAAATGACTATTCTGCCTTTGGAAAATGAATGAGACATTATTGTGAAGGAAACATGTCATCTATGTATTGATAAATATTTGTCTACCTGAATGATTGAATATATTGACATGCTTCCTATTGGTAGTTTGGAAAATGAATATGGAGCACTGACATGTTTCCTTTTGGTAGTTTGGAAAATGAGCACATGCTTCCTTTTGGTAGTTCGGAAAATGAACATGGAGCACGGTTTATTTGATTGGAAAAAAAAAACCCTCTGTTAACTTTGTATTGCAGAATTGCCATACATATTGCAGCCGATGTATCTCACTGTTGCATTAAAACTGTGACAATTCACAGCTCAACAATCAACATGTCACAGATACATGGATTAGTGACCTATATGTAAAAAACAACTGCGAACCAGTTTTACTTACCAAGTTACATCAGCTCATAAACATAGGTGAAATCCACTAGGGCAACAGGTTCATATGAAATCATTCCGTAATGGCTACAGCAATGTAAGGACGCAGTATCAATCTTGGACAGATTACACCACCAATCTAAACTTTGTTCTACATCAATCGATGAGACTGACCATCTAAACCACACAGTAAACTGGTAAGGACTAGTAGTTGTCATTCAAGAGTCCTTTTGTTTCGTTGCTAGTATACAAGGCATTATTTTCACCCTGCCCAGGCTGCTCGACTTAGGATTTCTCTGCCACGTCACCACCTGCCTCGCTATCTGCTCCGGTTGTGGTCTTGTGACTCTCATTTGGAGGAGGCTCTGAGCTCACGCCAGCCGTTGTGTCCTGCTTGCTTACTCGCCCGTCGGCTGTGACAGGTGGTGGCTGCTGCAGCTCCGCTGCCCGGGCAGGGTCAGCCTGCATAGGCTGCTGCATGCCGTTGATGGTAGCTGGTCTCATGACCATCTGCCCAGGGAATGTAAGAGCCTGCGCTTGCTGCTGCTGAAGCTGTTGCTGCTGCTGCTCTTGCATTTGCTGTGGGGTTAATGGAGTTCTTGGAGGGAACATTGGTACTTGTGACATGTAATGCCCCGCACCTGGCACTATACCAGGTTGCATCATCTGTATGCAAAGAAATGAAAATTTAAGTGACTTGATCAAAGGGCAGCAACTGTAAGGTTACTGATTTGGACAGAGCTAACCTGAGGGCGACCTGCAGGGTTTTGCGGTGGTTGGGGTTGGGCATCAGCAATCGCAGCCAGGTACAAGAGGTTCTTTTGAAGTTGAGCTTGATACCTAGAAGTCCACAGAATGCAAGATATAATGTTATTGAAAATACATTGTGAAGAAGATAGCAATTACACATAAGACGGTTAAGTCATGAATAAGATTGAAGGTACATATTACAAACATATCAAATATCCTTCTGAAGTTTTAATGCATCAATAATTTATGAATTGAAAATGTGCATGTATCCTTCTCAACTGACAGCTGGAACTAGTATGTAAAATGACATCAAAATGACTTTAACACGTCATTGGATCAGAATTTTAGACAGCATACGGTTAAACTAATTCATACAACCTTATCAATTGACAGATATAAACTAGTACAGCAAAATGAGGTACTCCCTCCGTCCTCAAATACAATGCATTCTGGCCATTTTCAGACAAAATAAGGGAGAGTGCAATAGACGCTTGTACCCCTCACTTGCCTTCCTAATGTATTGAAATCTGATTCTTTTTCGCATGATTAAAGGGTGAACTATTAGTCTCCTTATACAAAATATGGCAAGTACATGAATTACTTATACGAAATAATCATGTATTTTATTTAAGTAAACATTATCTTCTTGTTCCCCGAATGTACTATATTTGAGTACACATTTCAAATGCTAGAATGCACCTTATTTCAGGACGGAGGGAGTACCTCACAATTATAAACTAGTACAGCAAAATGAGGTATCTCACAAAATAGTTCAGAAAGATACTTACTGAGCACATTCAGCCAACTTTCCTAAGTTCTGATTTTCCAGGATGGCCAAAATAAGTTGCTTATTTTCGTCCAAATACTGCAAAAGGCAAATTCAGTTTGTGTCAGTAAACTTTAATAAGTGAATGATGACATAGACTAGTGTTTGGCTTATGCATAGTCATGAATTGATCCTTTACCTTCTCTGTGAAAGAATTGTGCAAGTGGTTTCATTTAAAAGTTCAGGGACCTGATTTTCCATTTTTCCTGCAGCTATGCTCAGCTTTTTGAAAGCCAAGCTTAATTGTACATTAATTCCAGAATTTGGTTGCGAGTTTCAGACACCAACACATTGTGGAGAATAGTACATGATTGCTAGCATGTCACAGCTAGTAACCAGGTCAAGATGGTGTAGCCTAACAAACCACATTATCTGTGAATGGAAGACTGTCAAAGCTGATATTAATCATATTATTATACCAGCAGGCCACATTCCATGGCAAAGAGAGTTTTGTCCAAGAATGATTGAGCACAGTTGAAACAAGAGCATTGCTGGACAATGATCGACTGACGACTGTCCTAAGAAAGGGGAAATTCCTAAAACCCATCTGCAAATATGGGGTTCGCCAAAACTGCCCTACAACTTTTGTTTTTTTTGTATTCTAGCACCTGCGTCTCTTCCTAGGTATTTACCCCATAACGCCATTGACCACATGGCATGCTGTTTGAGTGGCTTCTAACATGGCATGATGACTTATAGTGTGCCTCATAGCACCTCCATAACATTTAATCTGACCTAGCACTCCATTGTTTGCACTCTCTACTCATGCACTTTTGTGCTCATCTTGAAGAATTCATTAAAAAAGAGTTGCAGGTCAGAATGAATTGTCACAATCACAAAGATGCATGAAGTTACACTACAAGTCACCATATCATGCTCGAATGCACGCAAGCAGCATTTCATTTCAACAGCTTTAGGAGGTAATTTGACACATAGGAAGATAACCAGTGTTACAATGGGAAAACAGAAATTGTAGGTGTTCTCCAAACAAACCCCGAATGCAGATGAGTTTTAGCAATTTCCCTTAGTAAAAGTGACTTCAGACCGGTAAGCCAAAGTGCCAAACTGCATGGCAGAGGACCAATGGCCCAGTTAGCTGCCCCACCACAGGGCAATGTAAGCACAGGCTTAAAACCTGTGCCGCATGGCACAGGACTGGCTAGTTATAGTGCCAAACTGCATAGCAGAGGAACAAGGGCTGGTTAGCTGGCCCACCACAGGGCAATATAAACCCTGAGAACCTGTGGCACAGGGCTGGCTAGTTATAGTGCTATAGTTAGCCTCTGCCAAAAATTCGAAACTGAATATTTAAGTGGCAAGTTATAGTGTCATTGCTCATATGGCCTTTGACCAAAATTCAAAACTGATATTTGAATGCATGTCATGATCCCACTGCTCAGTGCTCACTTAGCCTTTGCCAAAATTTCAAAGGCATATTACCCACATTTTTCCTTTATTACTAAAAATAAATATGATATCTCAATGACACATTATGGTGCATCACCCATTTTTGGCATTTGCCAAAAATTAAAATTGATATATAAGTAACACATTGTAGTGCCAAAGGCGTTCAATGATCAGGCACTAACCACAACCTTTGAGCATCAAAGGGGCTCCACCTCCTGTATTGCTCTAAGCCACATTTGAATAGGCGAGCATATAGCTCTCCAAACCGCCAAAGCAAGCCACCCAACTACTCCAAACAGCCAAAGCACGCCACCGAACTACTGTTACTCACTGATTGAATAAAGCTCTCTATCCAAGAATCTGCTATTGCAGTACTGCTACCCACCGATTGACCTAAGCACTCAATCCAGCAATCTGCGGTTACCCCCAAAATGGAAAAGGTCCAAGGACGCCCAATCTTGCCCTAACCAATAGCCGAAAAAATCCAATCTTTGATTGGAACCAATCCCTAAAAACGACGCCGCCATGGGGAGCAAGGGCGAGATGGATGAGTCGGCGGCGCGCGGCCGAGAAGGCCCCGGCAGGCGCAGTAGCCATCCGAGCGAGGAGGAGAAGTACTCATCCGTTTCTTGGCGAAACTAGCTGAGGCGGCCAGCAGACTTAATCAAGGCACGGCGGCAAATCCTAGCAAGAAGGCGTGGGGGCCGGTGCGGGGCGGCTCGTACCTTTTGGATCTGCTCGGTGGTGATGCCGGCCGCCGGGGGCGCCGCCGCCGCCGCCGCAGCGGGCGCCGGCTGCATGGGCATCTGCTGCTGCATCGCCGCTGGCTGCCGGAACGGGTGGGTGGGGCGTATCTTGTTTCCCTCGCCTGCTGTTGATGTCTGCTCTCTCGACAAGGGAGATTACAGCCTGTTCGCTTTGATCGTTTAGGTGGCGGCTGATACTGTTGGGTTGCGAGAGAAAAACGGCTGATAAGCATGGCTGATAGAATCAAGCGAACAGAGAAGAGATACAGAATTATCATTTTTGCACCTGTGGTACGACAGCGCGTCAGTTCAGGTGGGATCCGAGGCAGCATGGGGGTGGCAAATGACCACGGCTGCCCTTGCCCTCTGCTGGTAACCCAGTCGGGCCGCACTCAGTCGCCTCGCCCGGTCCATTCGCTCGTTCTTCGTCTCCCCGCTCTCGCCGTAGCCCTCCGTCGCCGCCGTCGCCATCCGATGCCGCCGCCGCCTTCCTCTCCCAGCTTTCTCGATGGAGCATTACTCGGAGTCATCTGGAGGTGGACGGGCGAGGAGCAGGCTTCACGGTGGACTGATCACCCGCTTTGCCTCGCTCAGTCTCGATCCCATTGGTGAGCTCAACGGTTTCTCGTTGATCCCTTGCCCGGATTGCCATCTTGCTCGGGTGGTGGAGGGGCGGACCAAGAAGGACAGTGGGAATCATGGCCGTCTGTACTTCAAGTGTGCAAGGAATGGGGTCAGTTGTCTTCTGGATTTTTCTAAATTAGCATAGTTAGGGTTGTAATTTGTGTCCTTTTTTTAGTTCTCCAAGTTGTGTGGCTAATGTTGATTCGAAAAGCAGTACTTTCAGCAGTTGAAGGATCTCGGCATCGTCATTGTTCGACCATCGAACTGGGCAGGGCTGGTGGAAGAAGAAGCTTCAATGGGGAGTCCAGATGGTGACAAGCAGAGGAAGGAATTGGAGCACAAGCTGGAGAAACTGATGTGTAAGATGAACATGTTCATTGCTTGTGTTGTATGTGTTGTCTTTGGGTGTATAGTGATGTATGCTGTAATAAAGTAATGGATGAATGAAACTAAAAAATGTTGTCCCTAAAATTTTATTGTATGGATGGATGAATGAAACTGATGGATGACTGAAACTGAAATGATGAATTAACACATAATTTACAGAGGTATGATAAAAACAGATCATATGAACATCATTTCACAGAGCAGTGGCACATAATTTAATACAAACCATAACAGGTTTAGATAGTTGGGATGTCTACACATCCATTGATATTTGGCCACTTACATCACAGTAGCTTAAGGCCACACATTACAGTCATTTGGCCAATTCCAACATGAAAGCTTACAGCCACACATCACATTGTCTTGTAGCCACATAAAGCACATAATGTTCAGGCCATGCATCACTACACAAAAGATCACACAAAAGGTTCACTACAAGTTTCACTTTTTCTTCCCCTTCTTTGCTGGAGTCTTCTTTCCTGGACTCTTCCTGACCTTGGATGTCAGCTGCTTCCTCCTTAGTGTCATCTTCCTTGGAGCAGCATCAGCAGGCATGTCTTGAATCTAGTTTACAACTTGCAAATCAAGGCAGGTGTTCCTGTATTCAAATATCCAGGAGTTCAGGGTTGCATTCTTTGGCAAGCATAGAATTGTAAAGGTAGTTGTATCATACCTTGGAGGTGTTTTTGGGCTTGATGGTGGAATTCTCTCCAGTGGTGGCACATCCAGGAGATGCCTCTCTGCTTGTTCTGCTGCTTCTACTACAGCAACAGCCTTATCTGCTGCTTCTGCAGCCTCTCTTACTGCCTTTGCAGCTACCTCTCTAGCCACTGCTGCTCTTGTCCTTGGTGTTCCTTGGTCTGTTGGTGGCTGGTCCTTCTTGGCCTTCTTTCTTCCTGGTCTAGGTGCTGTTTTCTTGGTCCTCTTCCTATAAATAAACACCACAGTTAGGTTAGTTGTTACTTATTTGTTAAAAAAATAACAGTTCAGTATTTACCTTTTCTTTGTCCCTATCAGTGCACACCTCCAGCTGCCAGTTCTGTGGCCATACTCACCACAGCCAGTACATTTTACCTGCCTAGTTCTTTTTCCAGTTCTTTTAGTTGGAGATAGGTACTTGCTCTTCTTCAATCTGCCTGGTGGCTTTTTCTTCTTGGACAGTGGTGGCAACAACTTAAAACCCTTGTCAACCTCAGGCCATTGGTTCCTGTCAGTGATGTTTAGGATAATACCATGGTAGGCAGCCTGAAACTTCTCAACAGAGTAGTATTTGTCCACATATAGGTCCATTTGGGGCTGCCTCATAGTGGTGATGACAGCCAGTGCATGTGGGCATGGCTTCCTAGTTACCTGCCATTCTCTACAGGTGCAAATATGCTTTATAAGATACACAACATGCCTCCTCACTTCTTCATCTTTGTATATCTCTATGACTTCTGCTTCTTCTAGATGCCCCTTGGTCACTTTGAGGTGGCCTAGACCCTTGGAAGCTACATTGAGCTGGTGTATGACAGCAGGTAAGGTTCCTCCAGTCAAGGCAGTGGAGATCTTCCTTCTCTTAGCAAACAGGACCATTGTTTTCTCCCTGATAGCATCAGCCAAACAATGCATAGGCAGATCCTTGTGCTCTTTGATCCATGCATTTCAGGACTCAGCTAAATTATTGTTGATGTAGTCACATTTGATGTCACTGCTAAATTTGCTCCTGGCCTAGAGTAGGTTATGGTGCTCTTTCAACCAAGTAAGCACACCAGGGCTAGCTGCCACAACCTTGTCAAAGAAATACTTGAATTTGTGAGGAGTATAGGCCCTAGCTGCATGCCACATGTTTTTGGCATAGACATCTCCACTGTAATATTTCTTCATATTATCCATCAAATGTTTGAAGCACTCTCTCTTCTCACAATGAGGCCACACTTGAGCCTTTGCTAAGCTGCTCCATGAACCAGATCCAGTTTTCCTTGGTTTCCGAGTCAAACAATCCAAATGCTAAAGGATACATCCAGTTATGGCCATCTAATGCTTGGGCTGAGGGCAAGTGGCCATTCCACAACCCATTAAGGGCTATGGAGTCTATACTAATGTATGGTCTACATCCATTTCTAAAACCATCTATGGCTGCCTTGAAACAACAAAAAAATCTGCTGAAATGAATCTTCCCATCAACTTCTTCAGTAGCTATCTCAACCATGGTACCAAGTGATCTCATCTCTACCTCTACCTTAAATCTATACAACCAATCAAAGGAGTCATCCCACTTACCAAAAAGCTTGTTGGCTGCTCTCTGTCTGCCATACACTATAGTTTGGTAGGGGATCTCAATCTTGTATTTGGTCTGCAACTCCTCCTGCACTTCCTTTAGACCCATGCTTGGCTTCTTCTTGAGTAGTGGAATAGCCCTCTCTGCCACCCAAGCTTGTGAGGCCATCCTGCCAACCACTCTGCTTCTAGAGGCACAATTATGCTGCCCATCATTTATTTGCACCTACACATGCACAAAACAACCAAACATAAGTAACCAGACAAACATAACATCCAGACAGTTTAAATGAAACAAAATAAATCTATAAAAAATACCTTGATACTCCCATCATGTTGGGTTCTAGCTCTAATAATCCAAGGACATCCAAGAGAAGCATAGTTTCCCCTAAACCTTGATGTATCAAAGTGTGCAGTGTGAAGCTCAAACTCTTTGACAATTGCATGTTGTCTCACAGCTAATTTAAAATCATCCATAGAAGGGTAAGAAACCCCTACAGACATATCTAGATTGTCCCTGTCCCAATCAAACATTGGCTCCTCACCCACATGATCATCAACTGGTATAGCTGCATCTGCCATATTACTCTGCATCTCAGCTGTCATGGTAGGGATAGGCACAGCTTCCCTAGCTGCTTCCTCTGCTCTTTCATCTGCTGCTTTGAAACCCATTGCCTCATACACTTTGTCCTCATCAGCAACTTCCTTGGCCTTTCCATCCTCATTAGGCTCTCGCCAATATAGTCAACTCATTAATCAACCTCTTCTCGCTTCTTCCACTAGCACAGATGGAGGTGGAGAGCTGTAGGTGTCACCATTGCCTTCAACATTATCAGGAACAACACTGCCTTCTACATTATCAGGAGCACCACTGACTTGTGCATTACTAGGAGCAGCACTGCCTTGTGCAGAAGTGACACCAGATGCACACCTAACACTAGAGCTAGCATTGGCAGTTTGAGCATGTTTGCTGACTACATCCACTACAAGCACAGCTACCTTGTCATTCCATCTATCATTTATCAGCTGCTCAAAATGTTCATCCCTCCTAACTTTCCATTTAGATTCACTGTCACTGTTAACCACCCAAATAGGCAATGTCTGTGAAGGTCCCCAGATTATCTTACTGACCATTTCATCATAAAATTTAGACAGAGAAAACTGCACAGTCCTATCCAGCCGTAGTTCATGCTCCTACGGTGACATTTCTACTAGCCTGTACTCACCATCAGCAACATACTTAGAAACCTTAACAACTAATATAAAAGCATTGCCAGGATCAATCCTGACACAATAACGAACAGAAACACAAATTAAACTGTTAGACGGTATCCTACTACGTAGCATCCCCCCAATCTAGAATCAAAGCGAGGACGAAGTGCACTGAAGTTTAACTTACCAAATAGGGCAAACACTCCAATCCATTGCGTCTCCAATCTCCACCGCAACAGAAGCCACTACATCAACGGCCTACGTAGCAAGGAAGGCGGACAATTTCACCATCACTGGTAGGAACCCTAACCTAACCTATAATCCCATCAAAACTAGTGCAATAAAATGAGCGGGATGGTGACAATGGCGGTCCACATGTACCTTCCATCCATCGAGAAAGCTAGGAGAGGAAGGAGGGAGAGGAAGGCGGTGGCGTCGTCGGATGGTGGTAGCGGCGGAGGAGGGCTACGGCGAGAGCGGGGAGACGAAGAACGAGCGAATGGGCCAGGTGAGGTGACTAAGTGCGGCCCAGCTGGGTTAGCAGCAGAGGGCAGGGGCAGCCGCAGTCATTTGCCACCCCCATGCTGCCTCGGATCTCACCTGGACTGACGCGCTGTCGTGTCATGAGTGCAAAAGTGGCAATTCTGTATCTCTTCTCTCCGTTGTGTGCCAAAGTCGTATTGCTAGCCATTGAAGTGAGATCTCAGGAGGTGCGAATCCTTCTCCCTCTAGACTCTGGAGTTGGTGAAAGAGGGGCTATGGTACCGGGAGCCGAAAGAACTTGCTACAGAGGACTCCACAGTTTGGTAGCGACTAGCGAGTGCAAGAGAGACGAGGAAAGAAATTACGAGTTTGCCCTCCATTGAAAAAAGAAACAAAAATACCACTGAATGAATGATGATATTTTTGCTCTTCCAAATGCTTCTAGAGAGTAATATCTGGTACAATGAATATCTTGACAATTTGTGTAGGACTAATAAGCTTCTTATATTATGACATATCCTCAAGATTCCAAACCTTGTGCTATGGTTGCCAGTATAGCGGGCTATAGCTGTTTAGGACATATCAAGATACTTGTGCCCGTATATAATTTAGCCGCTATAGTTCATTATAGCCTCATTTATCTCTACAATTAGCTATTTTAGATGTCATTCATTAAATGTTGTAGCTGGAGATATAAAATATTACTTATTCCCACAAATGATGATATTTTGCTCTTCCAAATGCTTCTAGAGAGTGAAATATGAAATATTTGGCAAAACTTATGTAGGACTAGTTTTCTTGTATTTACTCGTGGAAAGGTCAAATTCACTCATGCCCTAGTCAATGTTTGGCGGGTGATTTGTGGCATTGATTTGGTATTACAAAGTTGCACGGTGAGCTGTGATAGGCAAACGACAATTGTGAAGCAAACACTGGCTGGGGTTCTTGCGGCTCATAAAATTGTAGTATGGCTATCTTTGGATAGAAATGAACCAAATATAACTTTATAATTCACTTTGTTTTCAAATACTTGTGTCCAAGAGACACAAACCTGTAGGATCACTGGTACGCCTAGAGGGGGTGAATAGGCCTGTA